GCCAGTGTCAGCTGCCACTGTGCGTCCACGTCCACACGGCTGCACGCCCTTTCTCCGGGGACACGGCACCAGCCCCTCGTTCCTCCACCCGCCCCACAGACCAGGGTGCTGAGAGTCGGCCCCCGACCCCCGCGTCCGTCCCTCTCACCTCTGATGTTTTTAACCTGGCTCTGGGAAATGGCGTCGAAGTCGAGCTCCATCAGAGAGCGGAGGAAGTTGGGGTCGGACATCATGCCCTTGGCGGTCTTCCAGTTGAGCTCCCGGTAGCCCTTCATGATCAGGATGCACTCGCAGACCGTCTGCACCTGCTTCGGGGGCTTCGCGAACGACCTGCGGGAAGGGCCTCGCTCGGTCAGCGGGACGTGGTGGACGCCGGCCCAGAGGAGCGCCCCGGGGAAGGTGCCGGACCGGGAGGTGACGCCGCCCGGAAGAGAGGGAAACGGGACCCCGACACCAGCGTGGGCGCCACGGGGTGCGTCCCACAAGGCTCCGGGCGGGGCACCGGGTCTCAGAGGAGGGGGTCATCAACATCAAGCCCAGGCCGCCCTGGAGCCTCTGAATCAGGTCAGGGCGGAGCCTGAGGATCTGCGCTTAGCGACACCTGGGTGAGTCATCGGACAAGCGGCGGCTGCATTCTGTCATTGCCGTAGTGTCACCATCACCGTCACCCTCCTGCCCGTTATCAGGGGCACAGCGGGGCCTCGCCTGGAGGTCCACTTCCTGCTCCCCCGGGCGGGGCCACCCTCTGTTTCCTGCAGTGCGTCCTCTGCTCCCGACGCTCGCCTGCCAGAGCCCTCAGTCCCAGAGAGCCAGAGCCCAGGGGACCACAGAGGGACGGAGCGCGTCTCCTGAGGAGCCCTGGGGCCCAGCTCCCACCGCCCACAGGCTGTGACACCGCTGAGGTTCAGGTCTTGGGTCTCGGTGCGAAGTTCTGAGGGTGGCGGCGGCAAGGAAGCAACACAGCAAAGGGCCAGGCGAAGAAGGAAGGGAAGGGGGAGGGCAGAGGAGAGGCCCCGGAGGCTGTGGGAGCCCAGACACCAGCATCGTGGGGCCTAGGGAAGAACGAGGGGGCAAAGTGTCAGAGACAGAGACTCACGTCCTCCAGGAAGGAGGAAGGCCCGAGAAGGGAAGGGGGATGAGAGGGGAGAGAGACAAAGAGACAGGGAGACAGAGAAAGCAAAGCCAAAGAGACACGCATAGAGACAAAAAAGACGGAAGGAGACAGAGACAGAGATTCCTGTTACACTCCAGGCAAGAGGAGGACCTGGGGAAGAATGGGGAAGAAGAAGAGAGACAGAAAGAGGCAGACAGGCAGAGACAGAGACAGAAACACAGAGAGAAGAATGAGACCGAGAAACAGAGGAGACGGCCCGAGCCACAGCACTCTGGAGCCCCCGTTGTGGGCCACTCCCAGCCCTCCTGCCTCCAGGCCTCCCACCCACGCACTGCAGACAGAGAGCAGAGGAGAGCGAGAGCCACACGGTACAGGACAAGCCAGGGCCGCGGCCAGAGCGAGGGCGCCGGGGCTCCGGCACAGCCCGGCACTCACAGCCCGGCTGAGTCACCAGGCAAGCTGCAATTAGGCCAGCGTCCCCACTTACGAAAGCAGCACCGCCGACGGCAGGCTTTAATGAGAGCAGGCCCAGGCCACTGCCCTCGCAGTAATCCGGAGACTCGGCGAGATGTTTGCAGATACGGGACAGAAAGGCCCAGGCCGGGGTGGCGCAGTACTGACCCGGGGCAAGTTAGAATCTACGCAGGGACCTCGGTTTCCCCATGTATAAGAGGAGGACATAAAAGCTTCCGGAATCAATGGAAGTGAAGTTGTCAGGCCGGCAGGTGGCATGGTGCTTGAGATGGCTGAATCCCACATGACCGACTAAGAGTTCAAGTCCCAGACCTGGAGGCTTGAGAAACACGCCAGGCACGTGTGCCCAAAATCCCAAGAGAAGGATCAAAGAGAAAGGACTGCAGCGTGTTCCCCTCTGGGGTGATTTCTCGCTTTCTCCCTCTCGTGTGTCTCTCTCTCTCTCTCTCTCCCTCCCTCTCTCCAGGAAGCTCATGTGCCTATAGCAAATTTAAAAAAAAAAAAAAGAGAGAGAGAGAGAGAGAAGAAGGAAGGAAGGAAGGAAGGAAGGGAGGAAGGAAGGAAGGGAGGAAGGAAGAGAGAAAAGAAAGTGAGAAAGTGGAGTTGGGCCATCGCCTCAGACAGCCCAGGACCTCACTTATCCAGACCAGCTGTGTCTGACACACTGAGGCTGCAACTCAGCAAATGGACCTGCCTCTGCTTCATGTTTCTGTGGATTCCTTCCTTCTATCACAAAAAGAAACAAACCAAAAAGCACCAAACCTCAGGGATAAGAGGGGAAGAGAGAGAAATCATTACAGACTACTCCCCACCTCCCGACTGTCCCAGACACTCCGACGGTCTCTGTCCTTCCCTCGAGCCTCGCTCCTGCCGCCTCAGGAAGGCATCCCTCCAGCCTCCACGGCCATGGCTGGGGCGCCCTCACCCACAGAGCAGCCACGGCCTCTCCTTCCCAGTCTTCTCCCACATCACCTCTCTGCACACAGGGGAGTCCACAGGCAGGCAGACTCGGCTCCCTGCAGTGAAGGCCCTGCCTGCCTGGCTCACCTTCCATCAGCCCGGTGCCCACGCAGGGCTGGCATGGGGTGGACAGCCAGTGACCAGCAAAGGAATGAAGGAGAAAGGGACACGCCAGCTGGTGACACAGGGAGGCTTTCTGTACTTTCACGGTGGAAAAACCACCACTGCCCAGCTTCATTATGCCTCATCTCACCCTGACGTTTGATGACTTCCACAAACAGCAGCGAGCACACAGGGAGGAAGCGCTTTCTAAGGAAATGAAGGATCGTGAACCTGTCAAGGTGGAAATGCTGGTTCATCGAAGTTAATACCCAGATAACCTGAAGACAGGCAGACGGGATCAGCGGGGAAAAATAAAATTAGATCCAAGGTAATATGGAACCCCGGGGCAGGGGGAATCCTCAAAAGATAAAATATTTAATGTAAAAAAAAAACAACACATGAAAGTATAGAAAAAAATCATGGAGAAATGGCAAGTTGCAATGGTGAGACCTTTTAACCATGATGCAATACCCGAGAGCCACAAAATAAAATATTGCTATAATCTGCCACAAAAAAAAAAGCACAGGGCCGAAAACACATACACACACAAAGCTCGTAAAGTCAAGCGGCCAATGAGAAGTTGGGAGTATGTGTAACCACTTAACCAGTAAGAAGTGTATTGGGTCGTCAGGGAAATCATGCTGTATCTCCCATGTCTTTCTATGCAAAAATGAGTCATGGCTTTTCAGACAGCCCAATAAAAAGCCCCTGGAAATGGATAAGAAAAAGAAAAAAATGTAACAACAAAAACCAACAGATGAACAAACAAAGCACGAAACAGTTCACAAAATGTTCACATGTAATCCTTACACTTTTTCTTTTTTACATTTGTCAGAGGGAACATGCACTCACTGCAGACAGGGAGACGGGGAAAGTGAGAAAGCACCCCCTCCCACACGGCGCTGGTCTCACCGCAGTCCCTTCTCCATCTCTCCCTCCTCTCAGGAGACTGAGCACTCACATACATGCACCAGCATGCTCTCCCAGTGCCAAGTCCGGGACTGCGCCATCAGCCATGTGGATTCCAGCTGCCTTAATGCCACCAGCTGTCCCCACGCACGTTTTTACATATGAAACTCAAGGCCAACTTCATGCGTAAGAAGAGAAGTGCAAATTAAAACTACACAAATACCACTTGTCATCTACAAGGAAGAAAACTGTCCAGGGGGTTGATAGCTCCCTCTGTGGGTGAGGTTGGGAATGGTTCGCTGATGAGAGGGTGGATTGGCTCCACCCCCACCCCCCACTAAGCAGACGCAGTGGCTGTGGACCACAAACACACGTGCCCTCGGACCCAGCCGTTCCACGTCCAGAAATACATCCTTCATGGTCAGATTTACTCTTCCCCACGCTGTGTGTGAAAGCAGAAGACAAGAGACAAGCTGAAGACCCGTCAGTTGGTTGAATGTCACAGCAGAGTCATGCCAATGACGTGTGAGGGGCTATTTTAGAACATCAGGGAAGTTCGTGTATCAACCTGCAGAAGACCTCCGACGTGGACCGCCACACAGAAACTACGCACAGTGCACGGCCAGTCATACTCCTAAGGAGGGGCCTCGCTCTCAGGCCCAGGACTGAGGACCTTGGCTATCTGGGGGCCTCGGTCCTGCATCGAGGCCCTGCGGTGGATACACAGAGATGATTGGCAACGGTTACCTGGTGTGGTTTGGGGAGCCAGACAAAGCTGATGGGGGCACAGCGGGACACGTGCCTGGCCTGGGTCTGAGAGCTTCTCAGAGTAGCTCGTTTGATTCTCACCAAGGCCCTGACACGGTGGGGACAATTACAATCACCCACGTTATATGAAGAGACTGAAGCACAGAGAGTTTAAGTGACTTGCTGGAGGTCACACAGCAGGTCAGAGGCAGAACCATGCCTTTAATTATGTTCCCACGATTCCTTTTTTTTTTTTAATTGCCAGAAGGAGTGTGTGCTCACCAGAGGCAGACAGGGAGAGAGAGAGAGGAAACACTCCCCCCATGGGCATGGCCATGCTACAACCCCTTCTCACATTCCTCCACCCTGGAGCATCCGGGCACGCGTGCACGTGTTTAAGTGACTTGCTGGAGGTCACACAGCAGGTCAGAGGCAGAACCATGCCTTTAATTATGTTCCCACGATTCCTTTTTTTTTTTTAATTGCCAGAAGGAGTGTGTGCTCACCAGAGGCAGACAGGGAGAGAGAGAGAGGAAACACCCCCCCAACAGGGCATGGCCATGCTACAACCCCTTCTCACATTCCTCCACCCTGGAGCATCCGGGCACGCGTGCACGTGTGCCCGGCACGTGTTTCAAGCCGCTGAGGCAAGCGTTCATACTGTGGTGGGACCCGGCCCCAGTAATTACTTCTAAAGCGACTGCTTTCTGACCGTAAGACATGCTAGCTCTCTCGGGGTCAGCGGGACCCTGGGCCCCGACACCTGTCGAAATGCAGAAACTCGTCAGCCTCTCCACATGGCCAGTGAAGCTCCCTCCTGACCCTCCCCCATCTCTGCTCCCACGGCAGCCTCTGCTCACCTGCAGCAGCACCCCAAATCCTACAACCAGTGACTGGCTGTTGGCCCCGAGGAGGTGCGTACAGTCATCGCTCCCCCACTCAGCGCGGGGTGCCGTTCTCTCGGCCCCGGCTCCTCAAACTTCCAACACGCTGCAAGGAAATGTCAACAGAACGCCGTCCTTCCACCTCTGCTGGCACCGGGCCCTGCAAATGCTGAAATAAGGACTTCCGGCAGTCTCCCCGAGCGACTCAGGTGCCCGTCCTGGATGGAACAGAAGTCCATGTTCCCATCCATGTGTTTCACCAACAAGGAAACCAGAGCACGGCCTCCACAAAGATCTGCTCGGCCTCACCAAGGAGCACAGAGCAAGAAACGCTTAGAGTGCAAGCACCGCTCGGCCCGCCAGGGGCGCAGAAGGAAAGCCAGTGCCGACCTAGAAACCCCTGGCCCTCTCAGCTGGGGACGGCTTGGGGACCAGGGGACCAAACCCCTTTTGTAAATGAGCAGGTGACGAAGAGTGAAGCAGAGAGGGGGCAAAGTGCCCACGCAGGCGGGCAGCACAGGAGACAGGGACAAGGATGGCGCCCTCCTGGGCTTCACTCTCACTGAATAGCAGCGAGTCCACTACCCGTGCCCTAGGAGACCAGGCGGCCGGGCAGGTCGGGAGCTCGCCCACCTACAAACCAGGCCACCCCTCCTGAGAGCAGACGAGCCCCCAGAAGAGAGGGGAACCCTTTACAGACTGATTTGCAGAAGGTCCAGGAACCACCATGACCCACTGGCCCCACCCCTTGAATGCACATTAGGCCAGAAATGGGTGTAGGACACCCCTGCAGGCTATCCCTGCGTTTTCTAGCAGGGCACCGGCCACGGTCAGAGCCTACACTTCCGTCCTGCCTGCAGGGAAAGGATCAGCTCACAGTGCACGCCCCTCCCTCCCGGGTGGCCCGGCCCAGGGCCAGCAAGCCCTGCTCCCTCCTGTCTGAGGCCTGGAGCCCGGCCTCCCTGGCCTCGCCTGCTCAGGGCAATGCACCTGCCACAGGTGGCTGGGACCCACCCTGGCCGGGACCGCCGTCACCTGATCTCGGTCACATCCGACTTGTCCAGCTTCTGCAGCTCCAGCTTTGCAGCCTCCAGGATGGGCATGACCTCGGCCAGGGCCGTCTCGGCCTCGGCCTTCTCCACCGCGATGACCTTGTTCTGCTCCTCTATCTCCGCGGCCTTCTCCTCCGCCAGCTTCTTCTTCTCCTCCGCTGCAGGGGGAGAGGGAGTGAGGCTCTGGGCGGGAGGTGCCTGCTCCAAGAGGGCAGCAGTGGCTGTCCGCGACGTCAGCCAGGCGGGGGGCAGAGCCTGGCCTTCCCCATAGACGTTCAGACTCCAGCCCTCCTCAGGGGCCACCGTGTCCCACCCCTCCATCCCACGCGGGTCACACAGCTGTCAGCCCCCAGCTCTGCCCCGCCGGGGGAGTGAGGACACCAGGCTGCCTGTGTGTGTGTTTGTCCTGGCTCACGTATGCCCCGTCTGTCCCTTCCTCACCTTCTCCTGTGACCGTCCAGTGAGCTCAGGCACCCCTGGGGAGGCTCGGCCGCCCTCCATCCCCCTGTTCTCTCACCCCGGGGAGGCTCGGCCGCCCTCCATCCCCCCGTTCTCTCACCCCGGGGAGGCTCAGCCGCCCTCCATCCCCCTGTTCTCTCACCCCGGGGAGGCTCGGCCATCCTCCATCCCCCGTTTTCTCACTTCGTGACACTTAATCACATCCCGAAGTTTCACGTCACTGCTGTGTTTGCTGAAGGCCCAGGAGGGCCTGGCTCACGGTCAGGCACACTGAGGCCGGGGTAACCGGAGTGACTGGGAAGAGATCTCCCGGTTAAGCTGTCGTGGCTGTTACAGCAGAAGCTAATCATGGCTAACAATGGTCAAGGTAAGAAAAGTGAGAGCCTGCTGTTGGGAGACGGGGCAGCAGCTGGGGCTGAAAGACATAAGCCAGGGCACTTCTGGGGGTCTGGGCGTGGACACCTGATGCTCAGCCTCTTCCCGAGGCTGACATGAGCCTGGCGACTGGAGCCGTCTTTGTGCGGCTGCTTCAGAATGCGAAGCCCAGGAGCACTTCTCGTGTCTCATTGGCTGACTGGGGCTGGAATAAACCTGTGCAGGCACCGGGTTGGGGAGGCAGCCCTACACCAGGCGGGGGCGCTGTGAGCAGAGGGACAGCGGTCCTGTGCACTGGGCCTGCCACAAAGGCAGTGAGCTGAACCGAAGCAGTTGGGGGTGGACGGAGAGGGGAGAAAGAGGCAGGGAGCTTCAGGGCTTCAGCTGCCATCTGAGAACGAGCTGGGGTGGGGCTAGGGGCAAAGCAGAGGACAGGATTCCGGGGTACGGGACATGACAGTAGAGGAGCCCGAAGACGCAGAGTGAAGGCTCAGTGGCCAGGGCCAAGCTGCAGCTCCGGGAGCGTCCTGCATGAGTTCTCTGTAAAAGGGCCAGCTGCACTGGACAGGGCTCGCGTGGAGACGAGGGAAGGCGGAGAGAACCACGGCAGGGAGGGCCACGAACCAAGCGCATTCCAGAGAGTGGCACTCGGGCTGAGGCCAGCTCAGCTGTGGCTCAGGCCCCGGGCTCAGAGGTGGCCAAGAAATGGACCTTCCCAGGCCTCCCCAAGTCCTCAGGCCACCAGCTCAGGGCCTGGCAGACGGTAGAGTCTCTGCTCACTGAAGAGGCGAGACCGGCCAGACACGAATGCAATCGGAGGGGAAAGAGGCCACATCCAGCCTACAGGTGGCTCCCAGGGACGACCTCGGCAGACCTCCGTCTTCTGGGCGCGCCTGTCCCCGCGCCAGCACCACGCTCACCGATGGCTGTGTTGGCAACGATCTCCTCCAGCAGGGCCTCACAGGCAGCGGACTTCTCGGCCAGCACGATCTTCTGCTCGGCCAGCTTCTGGTTCAGCTCATCCAGCTGGATGGTGGCCTCCTTCAGCTTGTCCAGCCCCCCCTCCAGACGCTTGCACTGCGCTGTGGGAGAGAGCACAGCGTCCGCCATCGAGGGGGCGATCCCAACACGCCAGTGCCAGTGGCCCAGCTGGGATTCATCCAACCAGGACTCACCAAAATGATTAAAGATAAAAAAAATTATTTTCGTGCGTCATTCGGTGGCCCCACTGCCATACCAGGACAGCACCCGTCAGAACAAGTTAGGTTCCAGAACCAAACTGGCTTCCCTTGGTCAGCAGCCAGGCCTAGAGCTTGTTTAAAACAGCATTTTCCACCAAGCACGTTGTCGCATCTCCACTGTGACAAACACTTAGAGCTACAACGTGTGTGGCCCAACACCGAAGACAAAGAGGAGCATGCCGGGCCTGCCCCCGTGCGAGCAGCACTCTGAAACGCAGAGGCCGGCGTGGCCGCGGCTGTGTTCCTTCTACCCTAAAGAGGCCTCGTCTTGCTAAGAAATATCTTTCTATTTTTTCAAGAGAGGTTTTTGTTATAGGGCACATGCACTTGCCAGAGACAGAGAGACAGAAAGTGAGAAATCTCCGCTGGGGGGATGGCCATGCCACAATCCCTTCTGCTCCATTCTCTTCTTGGGATTTTGGGCACACACACACACACACGTGCCCGGTGTGAGTTTAAAGCCACCAGGTCTGGGACTCAAACCACAGTCAGTTATGTGGGAGTCCTGTGACGTAACCATTACTATCTGCTGGTCCTGAGAAATACCTTTCTTAAAGAGAAGATCAGGGCCACCGCATGGCCTAGTGATTAAGGGAGCCAGATCCCTCGTGGCCAACTGCATGGTTCAAGTCCCAGCCCTCGCAGCTTGGAAAACATGCCAGGCATGTACACACACGTTTCCGAAATTCTGGGAGGATGGAGAAACGGAGTAGGGATTGTGGCGTGACCACTTCTCCAGAGGAAGTGCTTTCTCCTGCTCCCTCTCCTTCTCTGTCTCCCTGTCACTTACTGGCAAGCGCACACGCCCTCTGACAAATTAAAAGAAAGGGCCGGGCCTTGAACCCTTACTTGTGGGTAAGGAGATCTCTGCTAACCGTCCCACCCCACGTCTTACCTATGTTGTACTGAGTCTTCTCGTCCAGCAGTTTTGAGTATGTGTGAATAAAGTCCAGGTAGTTCTTGGGAGTTACGTAGTTGCTGCGTCTCAGCTTCTGCAGGAACTGCTTGCTGAACTCGCCCACAGACTGGTGGACCAAGACGACGTGTTCCACGAGGCCTTCCATACTCTCTGCCGGGATCATCGGGTTATCTCCTGGAGAGGAAGGGGTGAGAGAAGTGCCTCTTCAAGGAGCAACTCCACTGCTCGGCACAGACCCGCAAGGACGGGAAGCAGGGACGGGAGTTGAGTGGTGGGTGCCGCCGCCCATGGCACCGTTAGTCACATAACCGCGGTGGGACGACGCCGTGTCCGTCAGCAGATGATGGGATAACACCGTGGTCTGCCCACACTGTGGAAGGTGACTCAGCTGTGAAAGGAACGAGACGCTGACACTGGCTATGAGGAGGCGAGCCCCAAGTCACTGCACCAGCTGGGAGAAGCCAGACACAAGAAGACACGCCCTGCGTGGCTCGGCTCGGCTGACACGCCTGGCACAGGCAGCACCGTGAAGGCGCGAAGAAGACGAGAGACTACCTGGCCGGGGAGAGGGGCTGGCATTTCCTGGGGACGGGGAGTCTGTCTGGGAAGATGAAAACGTTCGGGAAACAGGCCGTGGTGAAGACCGTACGACATGAGGGGTGTGACAGTGCCACACGGACACTCCTGGAAAGGTTAAAACGGACATTTTTACGTTGTATGTATATATTTACAATGATACAAAATTTAAGGGACTAGCAGATGCCATAATGGCTATGTCCCTGGACTCCACATAGTTGACTGCAGTTCAAGTCCCTGACCCTCTGGCTTAAAACTCAACGCCAGGCACGTGTGCATGCATGCCCAGGATCCTGAGAGGAGAATGGAGGAGAAGGGACTGTGACATGGCGATCCCCCTGGGGGATGTCTCACTTTTTGTCTCTCCCTCTCTCTGTCTCTCTGGTAAATGTATACACCCATAGCAAAAATCTTAAAAAGAAAAAATTAATTAAAAAAAATTTAATGGAGGGAACCAGCAGTTAGCGTAGTGGCTATGTCGCTGGACTCCCACGTAGTCAACCGCGGTTCGCGTCCCAGACCCGGTGGCTTAAAACTCACGCAGGGCGCGTGTGTGTGCGTGCCCAAGATCCCGAGAGGAGAATGGAGGAGAAGGGATTGTGGCGTGACCATCCCCCCTGGGGGGTGATTTCTCGCTTTCTGTCTCTATGTCTCTCTCTGTCTGGCGAGCGCACGCGCCCTATAGCAAAAACCTCTCAAAAAAAAAAAATTTAATGGAGCCAGAAGGTGGCATGGAAGTTAAGGAGCTGGATCCCGCATGGGACTGTGCGGTTCGAGTCTCAGACCCAGTGGCTTGAAAATCATGCCAAGTTCATGTGCGTGCGTGCCCAAAATCTCAACAGGAGACTGGAGAAGGACATGCAGTGTGGCTGTCCCCTTGGTGGGTGAGAATACAAAGCTTTCACTGTCTCTGGCAAGTACATGCAGTCTATAGCAAATGTACACACACACAAAAAACGTTATGAAAAAAGAAAGGAAAAGAGTAACTACACTTGTCTCTGGGGTGCTGACCCACACTCTGGTAACTTCTCCAACAATGCAGAAAGCCAACTCCCTTCCCCCCTTTGATGGCTAAGACGCCCCGGCAGGAGAGACGGGATTTCAGGAGACTAATCGTAACCCCTGATCTTGTAGTCTCCCGCCTGGACCCTATTCAACCTTCACAATTTTTTTTCTTGGAGAAATATTTTTGCTATGGGGCACATGCACTCACCAGAGAGATGGCCATGCTGCAACCCCTTCTCCTCCATTCTTATCTAGGAGTTTGGGGCATGCATGCACACACACCTGGCATGAATTTTAAGCCACTAGGTCCGGGACTCAAACCGTGGTCAAATACAGCATATAGGGATGTCATTATGTCGCCTGCTGGGCCCCAGCCTTCACAAATATTAACGGATTCCGTGCACCCAGCACACAGGGGCAAAGGGAGGACCTTCCTGTGAGTCTGTGGGAAGAACCAGCAGTCATTTCCAGGGCCAACATCTGAGAGGCTGAAAGACAGCACCGTCGGGAAAGTCGTAACGCACTCTTCCATGCAAAAACCTATCGTGACTTTTCTGACGACCCACTACATTCACCTCAAAGCATAATACATCCCCTCCTAGACTGAAGCTGGGTCCTGAGAATCAGTTCTAGATTCTGCAGATCTGATCTTGAATTGAACCAAGGGTCAGCAAACCTCGGCCCTGGAGGGCCAATTTTACAGTGTGCACGAGAGACTTTGCCTTCCAAATACCCGTGCTTGGGGTCATCCCAATTCTGGGAAACAGTCTTTCAACATTTCTGAGACAATTCTATGCAGTGTTCTTTATGACAATGAAACACGGAGCCCTGAAAGCGGACCCAAGCGCTGACGAGCGGAAATGGCGAGCCTACGAGACAAGGCTGCCTCTGTATCAGGGGTGGCAGACCATGCCCGAAGACGGGCCCGGCCTGTCACTCACTTTCATAAATAAAGTCACTGGGACACAGCCACCACCGTTCACTTACACATCAGCTACGACGGCTTCCGAGACACGAGGTCAGAACGGGGTAGCTGCGACCTTGCTGGTAATACTTACACTGGGCCCTCTATGGGAAAGGCTTGCCAACCCCACATTGGCCACCAGAAAAGAGCCGTTCTCCTGGCCTCGTGTCTAAGAAAACAGCGCTGTGATTAGACTTAGGCTCCTGCTCATCCCACGGGACTGTGCATTTACTGACTGTGCGTGTCTAAGCCTGAAACCAGTCTGCGGCCACATGGTGTCTAGTCCACGACAGTCCCGTCGATTCTAAGGCTCTGCCACGTAGTCTGGGTGTGCGAGGCTGTGCCACCCGGGTTTGGGGAAATGCTCTCAGTGACGCTCATGTGATGACAAAATCGCCTAAGGACATGTTTCTCAGTACACTGCCCCATCCTCTGGTTATGTGTGGCTGTATTTACAAGGTCGCTGTGTCACCTGTCATGACCTTCTCAACTGAGGGCCAGAGACAAAGACTTTTCTCTGAAGACAAACGGACTTTCTTATTCAAAGATTAAACGTACTGGCGACCTTAGGCGCTGGAAACCGTAGGGAGAACGGTGCGCTGGCCGACAGCTGGTTTCTGGACAGGGCCTCAGGGCACCCTTTGGGTCAGGGATCGGCACACCTTTCCTAGGAAAAGCCGAGCAATGACCGAACGGTTCCTGCTGCATTACCCAGCTTCTCAGCAGTGGCGCCACGCAGTCTTGGATGGTGTGTTTGCTAAAGAGCGAGCCTGTGTCCAACAAAACGTTATTTACCGACGGTGTTAGTCAACGCTGGCTTTAGATGACACCGAATCGGTTTTTATCCTACACAGCTCTCGTCAATCTCTTGCAATCACTTTGGTCTAAAAGGCTATCCTCACTGAAAGCCATTCATTAGCAGAGAGGGTTACAGTGAAGGAGCCCACAGGAGCAAAATTAAAAGCTAGCAGTGATGCTAAACTACTTCATTACGCCAGCACTGAAACCCCCGTGCAAGCCGGGGCTTACCTAAAAATGACTTAGCGACCGCGTGCAGGGCTTGGGAAGGCCAGGGCATGAACCAGTCGATTCCAGTATTATTCACCAGACCTTGAGGAGGGAGAGAGACGGAGAGAGGATCACTCTGCCACCCTAAGACCGCAAGAACATTGACGCCATCTTTAGGAGTCAGCAGAGGTGAAGCATCTGGAGGTGTCCCAGCCAGACCCATTGGACACAGAGCTCCAGCTGTGGCTGGCCCTGCATCGTGGGTCAGCGGCACCTCTGACTTAGACCTGCTAGGTGACTGTGTGACACCCCCCCCC